TAATCTCATGAGTGGCCAGGGGGTTTGGATGGCCAAATGGTTAACACATGCACGCTGTATCATAATGTCTGCCACTGAGTCAACTGGCGTGGTTTTGATTCCCAGGTTGTACATGTATGTGACAAGGAAGGAGTAGGGTCGCCTGTCCAACCTCGGGGGTTTCCTCCCACTACTAAAGACCCCTATTCTCAAGCGAATTATTTAAATAAAAATTGAACAATATGTTAGTCCCGAAATGACCTAGTTTGTGTCGAGTGGATGTTAAACCCTTTTCTCTGTCTCTCTCACTTTTAAAACATTAAATGATGTCGATTTCTTTTATATTTCAAAGTTTTGTGTTGTATAATCCTGCTCTATTAAAAAATAATAAATACTTTTATTTCCTTGCATGTAGTTGCTGCCTTCTTACAGATATTGTAAGATAAATTATGTCTACTGTTTAGTGCTTCTTACATCTAATTTCCTCTGTATCTTTTAGGTGATGGTTTTGATCAAGGCTGGATCCAGATGGAACAACTATTTTGTGTCTAGAAAAATTCTTTTTACAAATGGTTTTTTGGGTGGTTTATTTGTATCCTTTAGAAAAATAAGAGCTATAAATCAACCAAGTTGCAAATTGAATTTCCACCACATTCAACATTTTATTAAGCCCGAGAGTGATCAGTTAACTTTACTTGTGGTTTTGCAAAATATTGTATTGCTTGACCATATCTATCTTGCAAAACATCTATGCCATGTGATGCTATTTATTATCCAATGAAATTCTTGATTTTCTTGTGCATTTTGGGACTTTCAAATTTTTAATTCAATTTTATGTTTTGTTAGACCAACAGGATTCAAAAATTGCTGATTTAAATTAAACCACTTATGAAAAAATGTGTGTTATGTATAACATATAGCAATTTATCTGAATGTTTCCAATAAGTTTGACACAGTAGTATTGCATATTATAAAGTATTAATAGAACCTTGTCACAGACATATTCTCTTTTAATCTTAATAGTAAATTTCATAAGTAAACAATAGAAAGTTTAACTTTAAAAACATTTATGGAAAAAGTATAAAGAGGACACAATTTAGGAACATTAAATTTATAGCGAGTAGAGGTGCTATATGTTTTGCTTTTAATGGAAATTTTCACCTCTTTTGAACAATGATCAATAAATGTAATCATAAGGATTTTGTTTTCCTTAACCTTTTGTTTTTCAGACATATGTGTTATCATGGACGTATCCTTTATTCAAAATAATTCATCAGTATGATTTTAATACTTTATATTTGACTTCATGTTGACAAGGAGGGTGTAGTTTACATTGACGAAATGGTAAATGGACTGACAAAATGAGGGTGTGGTTTACAAATTTTAAAAGGGGTTGTGGTTTACAAAAGGTGGGTGAGTTAAATGGACTGACAAAGGGAGGGTGTGGTTTACAATGAACATACTGTAAATGGACTAACAAAAGAATGACATGGTTTACATTGAACATACTTTAAATGGACTGACAAAAGGATTTAGTTTACATTGAACATACTTTTAAATGGACTGACAAATGGGTGTAGTTTACATTGAATCTACAGTAAATGAACTGACAAAAGGAGGGTCTAGTTTACAATGAACATACAGTAAACGTACTGTAAATGGACTGAAATGTAAATGATCTGACAAATGGACTGACAAAAGAAGGGTGTAGTTTACAATAAATGTACTGTAAATGGACTGAAATGTAAATGATCTGACAAAATGATTGTGGTTTACAATGCACATCCATTAAATGGACCGACAAAGGAGGATGTAGTTTACAATGAACATACTGCAAATGGATAGACAAAAGGAGGACATGGTTTACAATGAACATACAGTAAATTTCTACATTGGAAGGGGGTAAATCCTGTATTTTCAATGTTTTAACTTCCTTAATTTAATCAGATTTCTTTATGGAATGGTTCACGTTTATTAGAAGCAGAGAAAGTAAATGTATTAAGTTGGAGTGAAAAATCGATCATCAAAATATTTAATTCCATTTTTAATGTCGTTGTAAATATGAATATACAATGTAATAAAATATGTCTTCATATTAGATGTATCTTGTCTTTTACGTCTCAAGAAATATTGGGTGTGAAAGTATTAATAACCTTACTGACCTACATTAATGAGCCAGGATGAAAGGGAGTTTAGCATCAACAGAACATCAATGGGTCATTTTGACAGAGGGTTTATGTACAATCAGGTGTATGTGCATAATATACAGTGAACCTGATTTTGTAAAAGAAAAAGATGAGTCAGTGTTTATGCTGTTTAAGTTTTAAAATTAAAATCAGGAATTTATTTAAGTTATAGATTGACAGGCAACAAAACATATGTCTAATTTTTATTTATTTTTGGGTATTGGGATCATTTACAATACACTGATATCAATTTAATACAAATTGAATGAAAAAAAATTTTGTTTGAGTGAAACAAGGGTCATAACTCCAGAAGAAATTAACGAAAATTGTTGATTGAAATTCGATAGGTTTCCATGCATACATTTGAAAATAATTGGATGATAAATGTAGAGTGTTCACAAGAAATTGTGGACCACCACATTTCCATGCACTAATTTAAATGGTGCATATAAATTTTATAAAGATCCAAGGTTAACTTTTTTCGGTTCAAAGTGAAACAATGATCATAACTCCATAAGTAATTAACCGAAATTGTTGCAATTAAATAGACTTCTTCATCCCACTTATCACGAGCAATGAAATTATACCACCACATTTCCATGTGGGCCTATAAAAAAGAATAAATGAAAATGAAGATATAAATACCCACTACACAATTTGTATTTTTATACGTCCACATTCATAATGTGAACGTATTATGCCGTCGCCCCTGTCTGTGTGTGTGTGTGTGTGTATGTATGTATGTGTGTGTGTGTGTGTGTGTGTGTGTCTGTGGTTCGCCTACAGGGCGCAATTCTTCATGGATTTTCTTCAAACTTGGTATACTTATTCCTTATACCCCAAGGAAGATCCCTATTGTTTTTGGTGCATGCCCGACCCCCCGGGGCAGAGCCACGCCCATTTCTAGTATTTGTTTGTTTGTCGTCTACAGGCCACATTTCTTAACTAATAATCTTGAAACTTTGCATACACATTCTTTGTACCCTAAGGAACATCCCTATCGTTTGGGGTGCATGCCCAACCCCCAGGGGCAGAGCCACGCCCATTTTCTTTTCGTGTGTCTTTGTGTCGCCTACAGGGCGCAATTCTTACTGGATTTTCTTCAAACTTGGTATACTTATTCCTTATACCCTAAGGATGATCCCTATTGTTTTTGGTGCATGCCCGACCCCCAGGGGCAGAGCCACGCCCATTTTTTGTATTTCTTTGTTTGTCATCTACAGGCCGCATTTCTTAACGTATCATATTGAAACTTTGCATACTTATTCTTTGTACCCCAAGGAACATCCCTATCGCTTGGGGTGCATGCCCAACCCCCAGGGGCAGAGCCACGCCCATTTTCTTTTTGTGTGTCTGTGTGTTGCCTACAGGCCACAATTCTTAAGTTATCATCTTGAATCTTTACATACTTATTCCTTATAACCTAAGGATGATCCCTATTGTTTTTGGTGCATGCCCGATCCCCAGGGGCAGAGTCACGCCCATTTCTTATATTTGTTTGTTTGTCGTCTATAGGCCGCATTTCTTAACGCATCATCTCGAAACTTTGCATACTTATTCTTTGTACCCTAAGGAACATCCCAATCGTTTGGGGTGCATGCCTAGCCCCCATGGGCAGAGCCACACCCATTTCCTTTTTGTGTGTCTGTGTGTTGCCTTCAGGCCAAAATTCTTAATCGATCGTCTTGAAAAATTTTCATATGAATTCCTTATACCCTAAGGATGATCCCTATTGTTTTTGGTGCATGCCCGACCCCCAGTGGCAGAGCCACACCCATTTCTTGTATTCATTGTTTGTCATCTACAGACCGCATTTCTTAACGTATCACATTGAAACTTTGCATACTTACTCCTTCTATCCTAAGGAACATCCCTATTGTTTGTGGTGAATGCCCAGCCCCCAGGGACAGAGCCACACCCATTTTCTTTTTGTGTGTCTGTATGTCACTTACATCCTTCAATGCTTAATCGATGATCTCGAAAAACTTTTTTATACCTATACGTTATACCCTAAGGATGACCTCTATTTTTTTGGTGATTGCCCAACCCCCAGGGGCAGAGCCACACCCATTTTGTTCTTTGTGTCTCTGTGAGTTGCCTACAGGCCACGATTCTTAATGGATTGTCTTTGAACTTGGGATATGTTTCCTTATAGCCTAAGGACGACACTTGCATGTCACAACCCCCAGGGGCAGAGCCACGCCCAATTTTTATGTTTATCGTTTACAGGCCGGAATTCTGAATGGATCAACTTGGTATTTGGCATATGTATTCCTTATAGCCTAAGGGCATCAACTATTGATTTTGGTGAATGCCCCGACGCCCAGGGGCAGAGCAACGCCCAATTTTTGGCTTTAACGCCCAAAGGCCACAATTCTGAATGGATTATCTTGGAACTTGGTATACTTATTCCTTATACATTAAGGACGGCAACTATTGATGTTGTCATTTCAATAACAGGATGGTACCTATTTATATTGTTTCCATATCCAACCCCCATGGGCAGAGCCACGCCCAGTTTTTGTATTTGTGGTCTACAGGCTGCAATTCTGAATGGATCATCTTGGAATTTTGCATATTTATTCCTTAAACCATAAAGACAGCAACTATTTATTTTGATGCTTGCCCCGACCTCGTAGGGCAGTGTCACGCCCACTTTATTGTTAGTATTTTGTCTGTAAATTTGGCAAAACAAACCCGACGCCTAGCCTTCTTGGCCTCTGATCATATTACAGCCATTTCATATTTCATTCTCTTCATTTTAAAAAGTACCATATCAATCAAAACTGGAATGTGGACGTATATTGCAGCGTTAGCGATGCTCTTGTTTTAAATTAAATTCTAATGTGTATCATGTATGTATATTAGAATGAACTCTTTCATATAAAGTTGTATTAAATCAAATAACATCCTGATCAAGTTTTCAAAGCTTTCTCTATTCTAGAGATAATATCATGAGATTCATTTGGTTTAGTTCTTCTCTTTTCATCTATAGCTCTTTTGACATGTTTCTTAATGTCTTCAAGAATGGCGTCGTAAGCAACCTCAGAATTTCTTCTCATAGCCTGAGCTTTTCGAAATGTTTTCTTTTGGCCCTTTTTCATTTCTCTGTCAAAAAAGAAAAAATATTGTTTAAAATATTATTCTTGGAAAGTTATTTCTTTACAATTATAGTTATTAAGAAGGTTATTTCTTTCAGTTTGCACAGAAAAGTAGTACGTTAAACTCCATTTCATTTCGCTTATCTCTTTAAAATTATTGTTATTAAGTTAATGGGAAGTTTATGTCCTTAAAATTACAGTTGTTGAGAACTATAAGATTATAGTTATTAAAACCTTTATTTCTTTAAATATAGTGCTGAATAGTAGGACCTTAAACCTCATTTTATTTCTTTAAAAATAGTCCCGTCTCCATTAGCCCAGTTCATTCAGAACAGTAGGACATTAAACCCCATTCCGTTTCTTTAAAATAGTTTTTCAGAAGTTATACATTTTTCTGCCAGGAATATGGTGTATCGTAAACATACTCAGTTTATTTTGGTATATACCATTTTACCCCAATTCCAGGACTTTATTATTAAAAATACCAATATAGAAAAACTACGCACTCTATATCTATCTGATTGTTGTCATCACTGTCCAGCCTCTGCATCAATAATTCTAAGGATGCTACGGATAATGGTAGATTCATAGCCTATAAAAATACAACAGCAAACAAGGTCCAGTATTGGAAATTGCATATGAAAACAAGCAAAACCTTAGTTAAATATCCTTATAAATTTTGATGCATTAAATACCTGACAGGATTTTAATTGATCAATGTTAGCTTTTTCTGAAATTAGGAATTCGATCTGCAATTACATGGTAAGTACATTGGGAAACGTCATATTTTATTATAAACAGTATGCAAATGAAATGGTACAGTGCAACAAAATCCTGCCAATGGCAGCTCTACGGCAGACATGGAATTGATATTTTATTAAAACAGAGTTTAATAAAACCCCACTAAATTACTAAACGCCTAAAGGAAAATAAGATTTAGAATTACCAAAAATGCCTGACAGAGTTCTTTTCTAGATAAGGTTCCACTTTGGTCTGTATCAAGAACACGGAACAGGTCTATTAATCGTAGATTTTCCTGTTTCATATATTCAAAAAGAACCATACAGGGATCATAATGTTCCAGAGCTGCTTTAGGTTTTTCGGTGCCCTGGTGAGTTTGATGAAGATTCTCCCCGTGTATCACTTTAATAGATCTCACATCGTACAATTCAGCCAAACATTTCATAAAATCTTTATCCACTGGAATATCCTGCAATAAAAACACATCAACTGTTTCATATGTAAACTCTAAAATAAGCCATTGTTTCAATTAGACGTGTTTTTTTTGTGCACATGATGGTATCTATGTATGGGCACTTGCTTAAGATTCCATGTCTACACTGACTTACACAGTCGAAAGATGAACCACATCGTATCTGAAATTGTTAACACACATTTCCGCAAATTTACTTGCGTATTAAAGCTAAAAGTAGATCTGTTTGAAAGGGCAATCCCGATAATATTTTGGAGAATAAAACTGCTTAATTTTGTGTTAAAATCCCTTAAAATCCTCTACCTTAGGGCCGAGCAACTAACTCAATATTTGTCATATGTTTTCAAACAACTTAAACCCACCAGTCTTCATCTGGAAATGGAGACCGGTGTCCAAATTGTATTATACGTGTCTGGATAAAACCAGACGTTTATTTTATAAAAATAATTTACCCTTCGTTATGAAGTACAGCATTTTTGACTTTCAGGTCCAAACGACTCAATATTTTGAGCTAAAATTTTTGAGAAAAGGTAAATACACCATTTCTCTATATCTGGGTGCTTAAATTTCATACGTACTCGGACTTTTATTTGCGAGACTTTGTTCAAATCGGGATAGTCCCTTTAAACTGAAACTTGTGTACACGACAACACCGAAAAATGGGTTTCCAGACACCTATACTTACTGCTAAATGTATTTCTTTGATTGAACATCTTGGTGATAACATTATGGCCCTTAATATAGCTACAGCACCAGTCGTAGTTAGAGGGTTGAAAGAGAGCTAAAACATATAAACGTAACAAATAATAGCATGATGTATTTATATGTTCCTTATTATTAATCTGACTCTAGGTACATTTTAACCTGGACACAGAGAGGGGGAACGAGGTTTAACGTCCACTCGACAATTCGGACTAACACATTGGACAATTTCAATACTTCGCTTGCGCATATGGGTCTTAAGCAGTTGGAGGAAACCGGAGAAAACCCAGGAGGTTGGACCTTGTCACGAACAAGCTTGGGATCAAAACCTTGCTATGGTCTATAACGTACGTGACAGACCACTCGACCACCCATCTGGGCCTTCTTACGTCGAACTGCGTTATCTCGACTTACCTTTAAAACCCGTAGAGTATAGTTCTTCACTAGTCCATTGACTACAGGTTTTAAGCCAACATAATCAATTCTGTTACATGTTAAATCTAATTCCTTTAATACGGTATTCCTTTTTAAACATGACTCTAACGCCATACACCCTTCTCTATCTAAACCATTCCATGATAAATCTAAATATTCCAAACATTCATTTACCTGGCAAACATATTAAAAATGAAAGATTAAATAGATATTTAAGTTTCAGAAATAATATACCGTATAGACATTTTATTTTTTTTTTTTACAAATATTCTTTTTTACAAATTAAATAGACTTTTTTCTTCAATTTGAATAGACGTATTTTCCACCAAATTATAATACATATTTTGTACGAATTATACAGACATTATTTTACAAATTATATTGGAAAATTATATAGACATTTGACATATTATAATTATGTATTTTATAGAGATACATATTTTGAAAATTATAGGAGATTTATAAAGAATAAAATGGTGTTTAAATGGAATTTAAGATATTATAGTTTAAAGTCAAGTAGGGGGCCGCGTTGGCTCAGCGGGTAAGGCAATGGCTCACTAACCAGGACGTCAGATGTTTGTTCCCGGGGTGGGACGAAAATCTGAGGTCCCGTGTACACGTTGTCGTGCATGTAAAATAACCCTTGACATTTGGAATTCGAAATGTTCCCCACAGATCACTGTGTGGCTTGTACCCATTTTCATTAGTTCAATAGAAATATAAATCCAATTGTATTTCAAGTCAACTATTGGATTTCAAATAATCTAATATAGTTAGTAATCAAAGTTAGAATTTACGGCTAATCCTTGACAAAACTTTACTGCTCCTCTTTTTCTGATACCATTCCAACTTAAATCTAACCACTTTAAACCAATATTCTTAGCTGAAATAGCAAATTAAATACATGACTCGGATCGTTATCAGAATGCGCAAAGAACATGTCATCATTTAGGCCAAATAAATGAATATGTTTTGGTTCTCAGATAATCTAAAATGGGCCCCACCACCCGTTAAAAAATAAAAAAAAAAAAATACAGTCCCATACCAAACGAAAATATTTTATCCCGGTTACAGTGATTTGAGTGAAACCAGGCTCAGATTAATCAACGGGTAGACAACCCTGAAAAATTTTACTGGCTATCATAAAGGATACTAGATAATCTTACATTGCTTTAATGAAATGGGGTTTAACGTCCCACTGTTCTGCTCCGACTGAGCTAATGAAGATGTGCATACTCCATGCAGTGTGTTATGAGGGAAATTTGGCCCGGACAGCGGCACTACGGCCGTAGTTGATGAACTTCGATCTTCTCTCAGATTTTTTCTAATTTTAAGAGTTTTTCACTTAGATTTTAATACTGAAATTTATCATTCACTCTTACTGGATTATATTCTCAGTTTCATGTAGGCTTTGAAACATTCAAGTTTGAATTGATAAACTTGTTTCTTTAACTAGACCAATATAAGTATGGGTGATAATTTGTAATATAACATACCTAGAGCAGATCCTAATAATACCCCGGCTTCTTCATCTATATTACAATAATTCAACATTAATTCTCCTAAAGTTTCGTTCATCTAGTAAAATTTTAAAATAAAAGTTTTCCCAAAGAATGAATTACTAATGCATGGTAGCTTCAAATATTTGCTCCACATACCTCAGATAATGAGTCACAAAACGTGTCACAAAGACTTAATGACGTATAGTACAACACATATTCAACAATACATTAACAAAACATAAAACTATTTATCACCCAATAATATATCCTACCGTAGATATCGCTTGTGTGATATATTTTATATCTCCTTAGGAGATATCGCTTTACATGAATTTGATTGGTCAGTTGAAAAGGAACTACTTTTTTTTATTTTCAAAGAACAGTCAATTTCTTATTAAAAGTAACTTTTTTTTAATTAAAAATGAACTATTGTTATTCAATTGACCTTGATGGAAATACTTGGTCAATATAAAGGACTTTGCAATGGTTGAATTGCTGTCAAAAAATGATGTATCACTACGCCGTAATGTTCAGTAAAAGTGAAATCTACAGCAAAGAATTATATTTATCTATTTGTGCATGTAAGAAGTGATTGGGTGATAAATAAAATCTCCTACTCGTCTTTTTTTATATCAAAAAATATCAACTTGTGTTGATATTTTTTGATATAAAAAAAGACTGGTAGGAGATTCTCTATATCTACAATAACCTTTCTGATGTGAAAATCTCTCTTATCAATATCAGTACAACTTCAAAATTATAATAAATTTTCAGTGAAAATTACTTACTATTTAAACTTTCCAAATAAAAGAAAAGTGATATTAGGTGTTCACGATCAAAATGGATTATGTGATGCACGGATCTTTTAAAGCCAACTTGAAGACTTGTATCACATCCATTATATAGCTGTATTATATGACGCGGTGATGGGTTTAATGTATTTAACAAGATATGCAAACTTATAATAATGTATCAACAATTAAGAAGGCGCCCGCTTCTGTGTTCACACAATGGGTAGCCTACCGATAAAGTAAATGCTACTGAAATTTACCTTCAGCATTTCTGCAATATCTTTGGCATTAATTGTTGAAAATTTGTTATCTGAAAGAAATAATTGAAAACGCGGATTCAGGGCTGGGTCGAGCGGATGGGTTGGAATCTGTGTTGGACTATGCCCCTAGGGTTTATTTATATGTCCATGCCTTGAAGATACATTGTGGTAGATTAGATAAAGAGCTAGCAATTCTCACTATAATACACGTAGTTAAAAACTAGATAATGGAAACGCAATTTGATGAAAATTTCAGTCAAATTGATCAACTATGAACCGAGATTTTAGAGATTGAATATTGGGACTAGCCTCGATCATCATTACTAAAGTCGGTGGGATAAAAAAACATTGTCTCAATTATCCACTTTTTGATTTAATTATGAATGGAAGTCGAACAGCAAATCGGAACGTAATCCAATAAACATCGCAGGCTAGCGATGCCATCGAGAGTTGATTATGGTCTGGATAAGTTAATTAATGTCTAATTAATAATTTAGATAACATTTCAGGCCCAAAGAAATACGTGCAATAGGCAGATTTAGATCTTGCATAATGTATGTTTAATTTCAATAAAAATATAATTATAATAAAAATATAATTTTAATAAAAATATAATTATAATAAATATATAATTTCAATAAATAAATAATTTTGATATATATATATAAATATTTTAATAAATATATAATTTTAATATAATACTAATATATAATTTTAATAAATATATAATTTTAATAAATATATAATTTTAATAAATATATAATTTTAATAAATATCTCGTTAAGATACATCGTTTGATTCACCCTTGATATGCCCTCCACTCACTTTATACATCTACTTAAGTATTGTGATTTTAAATGTTAAATTCGCAAAAATTGAAATATTTGACAAGCCATAAACATCAGTAATGTTAAGTTCCTTAGTGTTCATTTCACTTTTTGACATGTACCACATATAATTTATATACCTGACCTGATAAATCTAAGAGCTTAATAGTTTTAATCTTCTGTAGAGAACAACATATAGATGTTATTCCATCGTTACCAAGGTTACATGATGCCAGGTACTGGAATAATAAAGCAAAATGCTATTGACAATCGTGCTAATAATACCACACATTTTGCTTACCCCTTTCCCTTTAAAAATACAATATTTGAGGTGTTCATAAAAAATAAAAATATACATGTATGTAGGATGAGTCAACGACCTGAAAGTTGATCCTTGTGGATTAGCCTTATATTACACAACCAATAAATATTATACGGATTACTTTTATTATCATTATTATACAACCAACTTGGGTGGATTATGCCTAGATTTTGTGAATATCTTATGAAGAATTAAGAAAAAGAATCTCTGATATCACTCATGTTTTTGACAAATAATGTTGTTTTGTAAAATTTAAACATGTGAAATGTTTTATGCTTGATCTCGTTTGTTGTAACGTCCACACTGACATTTAAACACTTTCTGTCTGTGGTAAAATATGATTGGTTAACAAATGCTTTAATAACCAAGCAATTGCCGCGAAGCAAATTAAAACAGGATTAACCAGAGGCATAAGTATATTTCAAAAAATAAGTATGAGTGACAACCGCGACTAACATGTCACCATGTGACGAGGTGTAACTAGCAGCTGTGGTGATCCCGGCAATTCAGTTATGACTTAGATTTGACGTCTCCCGGACTAATATACAAGAGGTGGTTATGGCTGTCGTGTACTAAGCAAGGGACGCTTACGGGGTAGTCTATCTAGGAAATCTTATACCACATTATTAGTGATTTGATTATTAAACTCACCAAATGAGAAACGTGTTTATTTCCTTTGATCATATCAGCTATATATGTGGCTCCTTCATTACCAATATCATTACCTGATAAATCCACTGATCGCACAAACTTCTTCCTCTGTCAAAACAAATTTAAGAATGAGAGAGAGAGAGAGAGAGAGGGAGAGACGGAGAGAGAGAGTCAACACCTAAACGGTTTATTATGAGTATATTTACTTATCATTATTTTACTGTCTTGAGTACTAAATCATATATTGTGTATGCCTACGATTTAGTTGCCATGAATAACTAGGTCGATGACAACAAGTCAAACTGTGTACCGACCAAAACCGCCACAGAATGCAAAACTGCCAATCCAGACCCAGATGTCAACTCTCACATATTGATTAAGAGACATTGTTTAAGGAATCTGTTATTTTGACGATCGATTATTAAAGATGGCGTATGTAACATTTAGGTAAAGAGCTGGTTGTCTTTGCTATAATAGTTCAAAAATAGATAATGAAAAACGAACATATTGAAAATTGCATTCAAATAACTTTATTCTTGACGAAGTTATGACTTTTTGAACGTGTAGCGTAGATCACTTATTATCGTAGCAACGGTACTTGAAACCGAGACTAAATCTCGATTATCCATTTCATCCCTAGACGTTCAAATCCTTTTAAATCTCTGCCACCCGATGGTCTAGAGAGTTGATTATGGGTTTGTCGTGTGAATATATGTCTAAATAATAATTCATATAGGATTTGAAGCCGAAGAGAGACCCGCAGTAGGCAGATTTAGCTCTTACATAACGTATCTTTAATCAGTAATGGAATATTACCATTAGAGCTATACAGATAGGTCGAATATCTGCACCTCCTAACAAACAGTTGTCGAGTTCTAGTATGGAAGCATTTTGTTGTCTTCTATAGGCACCACATGGCGTTTTCTTATACTGTTGACAGATTCTATCATATACGTCATCACTTGCAGTAGGACCAGTTTCTTCATCTGTTGAATCTAAACAGATTTACGACTAAACAACTTGAGGCAACCATCCCCTCTGCATTACATCAAAATATATTATTGAAGGTTATAATGCTACTTAGTACAACCAAACAGTACGTAGTGTTGTAAATTTACAAGGAGTAGGATCACCACTGAAGACGAATCCCAGTTTGGTCGTGAAATGACCATCTAAGATAAAGTTGATCAGGTCATGATATCATCACCACTGTGGAGCAGTTTTTAGGGTCATATGACAAACTGGTTTTCTGACAAGTTATTTAGGGAGACTAGCAACTTTTGGGACACCCCTCGTACAAATCCCTTCCCAGATGAAATATGATTAAATTCTGTGCTAGCATAATTCACACAATTCAATATACAAATTTATATTACAAAATATTTTTGGCCTATTGGCATTGTCCCTTCGACGTGTCTCTTGGGTATTTGTTATACTTTGAATAATATTACAACATACCATCAACAGAAGACAGATTGGGATGTTCGCCGTCATGGAAAGTATAGACTTTCAAATAATCGCTCTTGAGCCTGTATTCGTCAATGTTGCTGTTCTTACTTTGCGTATTGGTGTCCATGATTGTAACCTACTGGATCTGGCACTTAATTCCCATCAGCAGTTTTCCCTAAAACAATATCCTTGACATATCGAATTTTAGGGTTGGCTGGTTCTTGTTTCTTGGTCAACACTTTCAACGTCAACAGCACCCGTTAGTTATTGTTTTGACTTATATACGTTTTAAGTTATTATTTGTTAAATCTAGCATATGATATTATGGCATAACAGTGAATCCTTAACACAAATAACAGGATTAGAATAACACGCATGAAAGATCTTCAGTGATAGGCTTGTTTAGGCTGACGTCAGTCTTGTCATGCAGTCTGAACAAAGTTGATCAACTTTGATTACGATATAACCATGGGTAATTGGCGACGTGTCTGGAAGTTTTATTATATATTTGATCGGAGATCATGCTTTTTGATTAAGAATTTATATCATCTTCATTATGTTAAGACGTTATGACACACGTCTCGACTGATTCCTTAATAACTCACTAATTGCACCAACAAGGTTGCTCGTTACAAATCAGTGTGAGAGAGAGAAATGGGTTTAACGTCCACTCGACACAAGCTAGGTCGTTTCGGGACTACCATATGGTTCAATAATTCGTTTGCGCGTAGAGGTCTTTAGGGGGAAACCGGAGGACCCGGAGAAAACCCACGAGGTTGGACAGGCGACCCTACTCCTTGTCACGTACAGCCACCCCTTCCTTGAAGAAATGCTTCAATGGTTTATAGTAAAAGATCTTATAATACACAAGGCATCAATTCTATGCTGATGTTATTACTAACTTTTAACCAATTATTATCACCGACAATCTTAATTAAACGTTTTCAATCTTGATAATAGCTTTACATTAATTACAATGGCCCGCTCAGTAATGTAACACTATATCTTACAGATAACAGAATATCAGCATAATTGATAAGACCTTTATTGAGAACATGAAATAGACATAAACCGGGAGGGGCTCTATTCCAAGTCTGACTTGCTGTTAGTAAACGCCTGCTTATATAGCGTCTAACAGTTAGGGGAGATTGACAGGAGTGATAATCATATATGGTATTGTTTATTATCAAATTATGGTGTTTGTAATTACACTGCATATTTTTTTGAAAGTCATTGTCTAGTGTTATACACGGATCACGTGTAGCTTGTAAAGAACATATTGAATAAACTAGATGTTTAATAAGATCGTGCCTTAACAGAAGTTATAGAGTTTAAACGTCATCTTCGGGTATACACCACTTTCTCACATTCCTTTTCCCACCCACAGTTTATTTATTAAAAATAAATAATGGACACAATTTAAACGTCAACTTCAGGCATAGATCACTTTGTCACAGTAATACACAATTGTAGTATTCCATAGAATTGTGCCCTGTGTATTTCCAATTGATAAATCTGTATGAAACATCAAATCCATCCTCGGTTCAGGAGAAATGGAAAATATGAGAACATATCTAAGATTTAAGATGCCCCGCCCTTCATACATTTTGAGCGTGTTGTCATTTGCATTATACTCACATTGATTATTTATCATTTAATGAAGAAAATCAAAATCAAAATATCAACGGTAGATAATTACCCGAATGGGATTCCGTAAAATTAAAGAGACACATGACAAGATTTAACCCAACACTTAAATAGGAGACAGTAGCGGACTGGGTCTGAAAATATTGGTTGCCAGGAGACAAAGGGG